ACCACGTTGACTTCGTCGTGAAATACTCGTGATAAAAGCATTTACAAGCGTTACGCAAAGATATACTTCTAGTAGTTAACGGGAATTAATGTTAAGAATTGCTTGGTGGGGTTGCTTTTCTGTCACGGAAAACGTCTGTATGGTATCACCATCTCACTTAAATATGCTGCAGAACAACAGTGTATACCCTACACGTTCATTCCTACAGTATGAAGAGCCAGTTTGATGTGAGTCATTTTATCGTAGGCCTCAGATTAGATAGGATAGCTGTTACTATCTTTCTTTGAAGTTTTCCGCAGGTGTCCATGGACTGCCATAGCCACTTCAGGTGGGGTTTAAGGTCGTTTGACATTCTTATAATATTATAAAAATAATTTGTTTAATACATCATTTGTGACAAATATTTATACAGAAGCTCGTATGAATGTGGTTTAAAAGTGCGGTTTTATTCACATCATTAAAGGATTACTACAGTCGGGGTTTGTTCACCCTTAATTTATATTAATAGCTTGGACAGGTTGAGCTAACTTTTTTAATTACAAATATAAAAAGCGTTGTGAAATTAAAAGAATGCATATTTTTTATAAATATTTTAAACATGTGTCTGGTAAAATAAATTAAATTATAAAAAAATATGATGAAGTAATTAGTATGCCATAAAGCATGCTTTGTGGCATTCTTTGGGGGAGGCCTATGTTCAGCAGTGGACTTGTGAAGGGCTGTAATGATGAATTGGTATGCGCTTAAGATCAAACAAAAATATAAATCTAAATATTTAAATAGAAACGTAACTTTTGTAGGTGAACTTGATAAAGCAAATAAAATAGATTAAAATAATATGCATATTTAATGTTTCATATAACATCTTTAAATACAAAAAAATATGGTTTAAATATTGTGAACCGGACTTACCCTCTTTGCGTATTGATATATAAAATGGTTAATAACTTTGTAGAGCTTTTCGAATGTCTCAGATGTTTAAATTATTTTCGACTTTTATCGATCGTGTCGTGTTTTAATAATAAATATTTATGAAATAGTTATCAAGTTCAACATATTTGACGGAAGGCACGTACAAAGTTTTGACCTCAGGAGAGCGCGACTACGGCGTGCGAACGGCGATGCCGAGGGCGCGCCACATACTGCGGCCGATTGCTCATTCAATCCTCCACTCTGTCGTTATTCTTACGCAGATGTCCGTATGATGGAGTCAGATATGAAGCCAAAAGAAATTTTAACTTAAGATCTAGCTTTGTAAGCGATGTCCTGTACTAGTTACGTTAAAACGCTGAGCTTATGTAGACTTTAAGTTCGGATTTCCTATGTACACAATTAAAAATGAATTTTAAGGACAAATATTAAAAATATTAAAGTAAAATATAAATTCAAACAATAAAAGATGGTTTCTATCAGATATAATGCCAGGTATTTTAATTGAACAGACTATAGTGACTTAATAATTTAACGATCATTGCTTAACGAATAACAGACAATAAAGCGAATATAATTATCTAGTCCACCGCGCTAAAGATCCTTATAGGAGAACTTACTTGAAATGAAGATGGAATAATTAGTCGCTTTCTGCTAATTTCCAAAGTTATTAATTGTCAGGCTTTTGAAAGGACCGTCATCTGTTCGCCCGTGAAAACTGGGAAAATAGATTTAAATTCATATCAGTACAAGTAATGGTAGAGCCGTGGTAGCTCAGATGGTTAGCACTCACAGTACGCGAGAAACCCGGGTTCGATCCCCGCCGGCACCAAATTTTTAATTGCAATTTTAAGTGCTGTTTTACCACGTGCTCTTCGGTGAAGGAAAACATCGTGAGGAAACCTGCATGTCTGACAAATAAGAAAAAAATATATATTTCGGAGAGATGTGAAGTTCGCCAACATGCATTGGGGCAGCGCGGCGGACCTTTCCTTGCCCTAAAACCGTCTCAGAAATGATAGGAGGCCTGTGCCCAGCAGTGGTACGTTTATATAGGCTGTAACTTTATCTTTAAACTTTAACACTTAATGGTTATGCTATAATAAATATTTTTAGTTTAATATACGAGTGACAAAAAAGCACACAGCCTACCTGAAGGCAAGTAGATGCTGTGGCCCATAAATATCTACATTTATACTCGATTAAGAATCAAATGCACAATGCGTTGTTACCCCTGAAGACTGAGATGAAATGGCTTGTTTCAAGTTAAAGCGGGTCTCCAGTTCGCTACACCGACCATACAGAATACAGCAGCATGAAGCTGAATTAAAAATAGTCTTTCCAAGATTGTCCAACTGTCGAAGTGATGGTTTGACTGGTATAGAATGCCTATATGCCCTATCTCCGTCCACCCTTTATATATAATTATTTTAATTGGATAAATAAAATAATATACTAATACAAAGGATTGTGTCAACCGCGTGACATAGTAGTAGATGAACCTCGTCGTTAAGTCTTTGTTTGAATCCCAGCCGACGTAATGATGGTCCTCGTCTCAGATCTAAACACAATATATGAATTTATCAGATAGTTTGAAAGTGGCGCTGGCGTCACGGAAATGTTGAGAAGTGGTACGCTAGCTATGGACATATTATACGAAGGAAAGAAAATCAAATAACAAGAAGAATTTTGGTTATGAAAATGGATAGATATAAGAGTAGAGGGAGACCTAAGAAAAGATGGATGGATGGTGTCAGGGATATTATGCGTAAAAAAAAGTAATTGAGGAGATGACGGCTAATAGAGAAGAATGGAAGAGAAAGACAGCTTGCCTTTTTCTTTCATTCTGACCTGCTGCCCCCAAATAACTTGGGATAAGGTCAAGGCAAAGAAGGAGATATTGAAGTATTGAAATATAACCAGTTGATAGGTAAAGCAATATATCACTTAGTAATACTACTTTTTGAATTTAAAATGCTTTAGTCACGACCCTTCCAACCAGTCACCTCTGGTGAAGCTGTATTTTCTTTGGAATGAGAAGCCATTTAGTGAAGTATTTTTGGGGCAGAAGTAACCTACAAATAAAATCTACAGCCCATTTACTCAATTTCTGCATTTAAATAGGCATTGAATAACTGTTAAAGTTTCATGAAAACATGTTATATTACTTTTTTTGACAAACGAACACACAGTCCACCTGATGGTAAGTGGCCACAGCGGCCCATAGACATTTACATCTATCCTCGATTACGAACTAAAAAACAGATGCGTTGTGACCCGTGAGGACTAAGATGGAATGTCTCGTTTTCAGTAAAAAGGGTCTCCGGTTCGCTACACTCACCATATAAAACACAGCAGCATTAAGCTGCTATTTTACGCTGGTATTCTGTGAGAGCGTGGTCCTATCTCGGTTGAGCAGACCCATTCGTGCTACAACTATAATATAGCTGCAGCGTGGATCTGCCAAGTTAAATACATATGCACACACATATATATATAGTATCTAAGTATATTTTAATTAATATTAATATAGAATAATTTTATATTAATATTAATTAAAATAAATACATTAGACATAAAGACTAATATGGTATATAAATTATTATTAATATTAATATAAGAATTATTATATACGCGCGGAAAACTTAAACTCATTTTATTTTTAAAGAGTAAGGTTGACAAACAAGCACGCCTTACCCGATGGCATAAGGTAATTGTGGTCCATAGAAATTTATCCTGTTTTAGGAATGAAAATGCAGATGTGTTATCACATATAATATGACCATCAAAATAGTTCTCCAGTTCTCCTTACTCACCATATGAAATATAGTAGCATTGTGTTGCTATTTTGCTGGAATAGTGAGCGTGGTTCTTCTCAGGTCAAGTCGACTCGTGCTACGGCGTAGCTTTAATTCTTCTAATAAATATTTGCAAATTTCAGAGTCATTTTTTAGTTACCGTAACGCGTCAATTGTTATTTCAATGGTATTTATACAGTACTAGCTGACCAGGCAGACGTTGTTGTGCCCTTTCCGACGACCTTTCCTATGAAATAATTCTTCAATTCGCAATAAAAAAATATTGAAGGTCACTTATCGAGATAAAAAATATCCTATCTCTCAAGTTGGACCAAAATGCACACAGTGTGCAAAATTTCATTGAAATCAGTTCAGTAGTTTAGGAGTCCATCGCGGACAAACAACGTGACACGTAATTTTTATATATAAAGATTTATTTTAAATCTTGTTTGATGGCATATTTCTGAATTTGTCAACTCGTTTGAAATATTTGTATTATGTCAACACCATTATTTTTGAAAACAAACACTAAGACATAACGCGGCAGACAGGGACAAAAACCTAACATATGAACCATGGACCACATATTAGCCGAAGCTAAAGGATTTGCATACCCTAAAGTCAAACATTTGTATACCAATATAATGTATAAAATATATAGTCACGTGGAACATAATGTATTTACGTTTTAAAGATTTTAAACTTAACGTACTTGGAATAAAATACAATGTATTCTAAGCTACGTTATTACACATGGCTGTCCAGAAAGATAGAGAAGGCGTACTGCAGGGTATATCGCAGTCTTTACTTATGGTATTATGTTACACTCATTTATTTGACTTAAGTTGCAGTCTGTTTTAGTACTATGTTGCTCAATAACCAAACATATTAAAAAGCTTAAAAAATTTAGACGTTTAGATGCGGAAGTAATAACTAGTTTAATTTTTCTGTGAATAACGTCGCTATATATTACTCGCAAAAATATTTACGTTTGTTTTAAATATTGCAAGGTGTAAATTATTACATTCCATAATTATTATGTAACAGGAAATATTACTGCAGAAAGGTATTTGCACTCCAGTCCACCTGTGAGTAGTGGCAGATGCCATAGAAGTATGATTTTTTCAATTCCTACACCGTAAAGCCTAATCAAGTATTATCGTTAAATGAAAAAAAGTAATTATATAAATATAATTTTATTGCATTAATTTTTGAACAATAACTCAGGATAAATATGATAATTATGTCTTTACTTTACAAGAGCTAACATCATCATTCCTTTTCCTTCTTGGCTGCAGGAGGAGCGTTATATTCCTCATGAAAATTTTTTAAATAATTCCACGGAGATTCTAATTGGTAGCTCCGCATTTCCTGTGCAAATTCTACCGGCTCGTACACCAATTTCTTCAGCCCATCGTCATACCTCACTTCGGTATAACCAATTAAAGGGAAATCCTTCCTAAGAGGATGCCCTTTAAAGCCGTAGTCGGTGAGAATTCTTCTGAGATCCGGATGATGTGTAAAGATTATGCCAAACATGTCATATATTTCCCTTTCTTGCCAGTTACAAACTTTCCAAAGCTCATAAGCCGACCGCAATGGAGTAACTTCATCAGTATAAGTTTTTACTCTAGCTCGCTCTCCAAATCTCAAACTAAGAATATTATACACTACTTCAAACCTATATTCTCTACTGGGAACGTCTATGGCAGTAGCCGAAGAACACTGATTGAAACAAGCATGTTGGTGAAGATTCATAAAACTTAGAACGGGGAACATGCCTTCAGGCGCGACGAGTATTTCCAGTTCGTCCGTATGTTGCATTTGAACTTTTTGTACGAATTTTGGCATACATGCAGCAACGTACATACCAAATTCATATAGATTTTGACGTCTATAATTGTCATGTTTTCTGAGAGTGTGGCTTTCGTATTCAATTGGTTCTAAACAAAATTGATAGCCAACTAGAGCGGAGTCCTTGTTGAACTTAATATTCGTTGAAGAGAAACTGCGCTTAAAAGAATACTCAAGTAAAGTTTTAGGGAACTTCAATAATAATCTATTCATAGCTTTACCTATCATTGCACTGTATTTTCACAACAGAAATTGACAGTCCGAAATAAAGTTTTCACCAAAAATAATTGCGAACATGCCAGTATGCAGCCATTAAGTGCATGTCATAATTAAAACGTAGTGATTATATACTTTTTGGTCATGGTTTTGTAATTTATTATTGAATTGCATAATTTACAAATAATTAACGGAATATTTATAAAAAATCTATACATTTTTTATAAATGTATAGATTTTTTAATATACAAATAGAATTGAAGTGTATGTTTGCAATACTAAAATAACTGGCTACTATTAAGCTCAGGGGGTTATTTTCAGTCATTTTTAAGACATGAATAACCATTTTTGAAATTTATGTCTGGCCGTTCCAACTAATCTTCGGAATGGCAGAATCAAATGTGATGAAACTTCACAAACAGGTATAAAGAAATTCCAGAACTGATCTAGGTTATATTTTATCCCTAAATTTTCAAGATATTTTTTTTGAAACCGAAAATTTTTGTCGAAAACGAAATTGAAATCGAAATTGATATCTCATAAAATAAAAGAATCTATATTATGTTTCAAACAAAACTTTTTATCTATTGTCTTTTAAGGTTGTGATGAAAAATCTATTTTTAACATTTTTTTACTTCAACGCCATTCTGCAACTATATGTTTTGAAGGATAAGGAGATTCAACTATTTTTTACGTAAAATTAATAGATCTTCAATTTCTATTTTTAGTATTTTCCTATATCACACGCAGTTTAAGAAATAAAACAAAAAATCTCTATGAAGTGGTTTTTGATAATTAACTACTTGCCAAAATACCACTATTATAGATCTGTAAGTGTTCTACGCAGATGAAGTCGCAGGTAAAAGCTGGCTATAAATATTTTGTGGCGTTATTTTAAATATTTTCTAAGCGAATTGAGTTGTAATACTATTTAATGAAATGTATACTCTTTTCAAAAATATAGCGAGCAGGTTACACTAGGAACAAGGCTTTTCTCTTTGTTCATGTAGAGTTTTCGAGAGGAAGTTTCGACGTGTGTCCCGCAAAAGACTTGCGCTTCGTATTATGTACACACTTATTTAGAAATTTGTTTGAAACATTACATGTAAAACATGTTAGGATGTATGTTTTTAAAAGATAATAATAAAGCTTTTATTTTCCGAAATAAGTTACATATTACATGTTTAAGTTGAAAAATAAAAAATAATTAAAAAGAAAGTACAACAATATATAAACTAAAACTAAACTTATATTACAAAATGTCTCTTATTTCAGTGTGTCTTTCGACAAAGGCCTCCTCCAACTCTTTCCACTGTTTTCTGTCTGCCGCTACTCTTATCCAAAGGGGTCCTAAGGTCAATTTAAGGTCATCCTCCCATCTTCTTGATTTACGACTTTGGCTCCTAGTGCTGTTCCTTGGGTACCAAATTGTCACCTATTTGCTACACTTTTCCTTTTTGCAGCGAAGCATATGTCCAGTCCATCTCCGTTTAAGTTGACCAAACACAGCCGGTATGTCAATTAATTTCGTTTTGCGACTAATGTCTATACTTTTTACTTTGTCCATTAGTTTCAAACCTAACATGCTGCTTTCCATGCTTAACTGACATCTTACTAGTTTGTCTCTATGGCGTTTTGTCAAAGCCCAGGTTTCACAGCCATATGTAATGCAGGTTAGGATGCAGGTATCGAAAGTTTTCTTCTTGATCTTCATGCCCAGTTCCTTGCTTTTCATAATTTCTTTTAAGGCACAATACTTCTTCCACCCAGTCGCAATTCCTTTGCCTATTTCTTTGGACATTTGGTCATTTGGCGATATTATCTGGCCTAGATACACATATACCTCTACATATTCAAGGTTCTGTCTGTTAATGGTTATTGTTCGCGCCAAACACTTTCAAGGATTGACGCGAGATGTCACTCGGCTCGGCGCGATACCGGTTTGACTTTCGGTCGTGCGAAAAACGCCCAAGGGCAGTCAGTCATCTGCCAGATGTGCTAATGTTTGCACGCTGTTAATTTTGTGCGGGAACCGCGGAATAGTTAGGGCGTCTAGTAAATATCCTGTCTAGGAATTATAACGCGCATTCCCTGTTTGGATAGCCTTTCCCGGGACTTATTGGGTCCGACTTAGAATCTGTATAAGTGCATTCGACAATATAAGCTAGTGCGGCCTCGGTATTTAGAACTGTTGCCACGCGAAACGGTAGTGACCTTTGACCTAGAAACTCCGGGCGTGTTTTGTGCGGTAACCTTATACCCCGCGATAGTTAGTGGCTTCTGTAAGCTAGTTAATCGTACGATAGAGTTAAGTGACTGGCATCGTGGTGAACCAAGAAAGTGACTGTGGATAACCTCGAAAGGCCCCCTCAAGTTGAAGCGGTGTCGACGCTCGGGCTGTTGCCGACGGCTAAGGTCTAGGTTCAATCACCATCAGTCACACCCAGATACACACCACATCACCATTCTTTCCCTTGCACTACACAACCACATGCGACCTGACCGACTCCGGAGGAACCAGTCGCCTTGGATAGAGGTAAGTGAACCCCGACAAATTCCTTCCGGTCGACTGGCCGTAGTATAACGCTCCCCCATATATTTAGTGTAATTAGAGAACTTCCACGTGGCCTTAGGAGGCCCGACCTACGTTTGCTCGGGAAGTCTTCTGCTGATGGGCCCCGGGGGATTGGATCCTTTAAGGGAGCAACCGTAGGCCGTAACAAACTGGTAGCAGAGCGCGATTCCGGGTTCGATTCCCGGTCGATCCCGACTATAGTGTTTGATAAACATTAAACAATTTTGGTGGCAGGGAGCGTTGGTGTGATTGGTTTAATTGGCATCTACAATCACGCCCGTCCGTAATACGTAAAAATATTTTTTTTGTACGTAATAATAGAATTATTTTCCTTTGTTGCTTTGTTGCTTGCCTTTTTTTTGGTTAGAGGGTAATTTGAAAAGCCGCGCCCTAGGTTGTGCAAGCGGGAGATTTTCTAGAGATATACGTCATGTAGGTAGATGGTTATTTTTACGTAATCGGTTAATTATCGTTGTCGGAGAGTTGTAGTGGATTACTTATCGAAGGTTCGATTTCCGAGCTAGGCATTTTTTGTTGATCGACCGTGATGTGTATCTTCGTTTATACTGTAAGTTGTATTTGAACTAAATAGTAGTAATTTGTATTTGCGCAATTTGAATTTAACTTGATTCGATCGCACTAGTATTTGTTATTTGTTAATTTGATTTGTGTCTTTTTTGTGCTAACTTGTATTTGGTTGATACGTAGCAAGTAGTTCGTATTTGTGTAATTTCTATTCAACGCGATTTGATAGGAACTGCATTTATTAACTGTTAATTTTTTGTTGTATTTTTTATTTGTTATCTTTGTAAACTGTGCTCAAGCCGCGTCGTAATTTGTATTTAATAGTGATGACATCGCCTAAGCTACTGATCCGTTGTCTGCGGACTGAGTTGCGCTGGGCCACAAGCGCCCATGCTTTGATAGGTCGACCGGATAGGGTCCATAACTTGATGAAGCGGTTCGAGCAGGTGGATGCTCGAAGGGCCGCAGTGGAGGAGGCTTACGCTGAGCTCGAGGATTCGGATGTGGAGAAGGGAGTCCTGGACTCTTGCTTTGCGGACTATGAGCAGTTCTTGTGGCTCACGGACGAGTTGATCGAGGCTGAAGGCAGGTATGCCGAGGAGGCGCGTGAAGCTCGGATGAGTAACCTGCCCGAGTCCTCTCTGAAGCAGCTTCAGCCGGAGCGGTTGGGACGACTCCCAACTCTGGACCTGCCAAAGTTCTCCGGGGTCCTTTCCGAATGGCTGACCTTCGTTGGTCTTTTCGACAGCCTAGTGGACGCCCGGAGTGACTTGACCCCGAGACAAAAGATGGCGTACCTCCTGGCCTCACTGGAGGGGGAGGCCCTGGGCGTCGTCGGCCACTTGAAATTGTCGGACGACGCCTACCAGACTGCTCGGGACCTCCTAGCCAGAAGATATGCCAACATCCGGCGAATTGCAGACGAGCATGTTAAGCAGCTTCTAAGCCTCCCGCTGCTTAGTGACCGGGCCAGACTGCGTCCGGACCTGTTGGATCCAGTCTTGGTGGCCTGTAATACATTGAGGCGGCTGGGTTTACCAGTGAGCGAATGGGCTTTTTTGTTGCTCCGCATCGTGCTGTCCCGTCTACCTCTCGACCTGCGAATCCATTTTGAGGAGAGGTACGGCGGGGACGAGGCCTCCTATATTCCGCCCTTCTATGACCTGCTGCGGTTTTTGGAGGAGCAGTGCCGGCAGATAGAGAGCGCGGCGGGCACCGTTGACGACTTACGAGCCGTGCCCAGTGAGAGGCTGAATCCTCCAGGCAAGCCGTCGTCAACCCCCCCCCTGCTCCTATTGTCGAGCATCTGATCATCGGGTAACGTCGGGCCCGAAATTATTAGGTAAGCCGGTTCCAGCGAGGCGAACTATCGCCAAGGAGCGCCGCTGGTGCTGGTCATGTCTGGGAGGGCACCTCCAGCGAGACTGTCCGCATCGACGGCCCTGTCTGCATTGCCAGGGCAATCACCATGCCGTTTTGTGCCTGGGTGCGAACGGCGTCTCCTCTCGGGGCTCTGCCAGGCCCTCGACCCCCACGGGCGGGGGCGCTCAGCCACGCCCTCTGCCGGGCGACTCTTGGCGCCCGCCGGCCAGCCATCAGGCCCCTAAGTTTGAAAGGAGTCCCTCCCCCGACCAGTCGGGGGGTAATTCCCCCAGGGGCGGGGGTGTCATCACCCCCCCTCAGCGTGTGGAGAGGAACTTCACGGCCACTCATCTGTCCGTTGGACCCTTCTCACTTCCGTTAGCTGAGTGGCCGCGACTGGTGTACCACTGTTCCCCATTTGATGGAGGCGGCCCTGGCTAGCTGCCGCCTTAGCTCCCACCACGGCCACCTCCACTGAGCCTTAAGCCGTCAACAGTCCACTTGTCAAAATGTTCTGTTGCCGACGGCCTCAGTGAAGGCGTACAACCCGAGTGGCGATTGTTAGCGATCTCGGGTTCACGCCATGTGGCCTCCCCTTGGTGGTGGGAAGATTAGGGCCCCTCTGGAGCGTTGAATCACGCTGTCAAGGGGTATTAGATTTGGTTTGGTCGAGCACTTAGTCAAAAAATACTTGAATTAAAATTAAAAAATGGTTTGGGCTTTCCGCGAAATTTTCCTATTTGTAGCGGTTTAAATTAAAAGAATTGAATTTAATCTACTCCTTTAAATGCTACTGCATGTGTTTTGTAAATATATTTAATCACTGTATTTGATTGTTGCGTCTGTTTGCTGAAAGGAAAATTTGAATTCATCTGAAATGGAATGGCGCACTATTTGAAAAATTATGTTTATGTTTATGATAGTGTTTAATAATTTTGCTTTGCGAAGAAGTAGGGCTGTCCCTTACGTTATTGTTTTGTTTAATTTGCAAGTTGACCTATGCGCATCGGTGATTAATTTGGTTGAATTAATTCTGTAGTTGCACATTGATGCTTTTGAAAAATTAGTTGAAATATGAGCATAGGACTTCTTCTTCTTCTTCTTCATAGGATTGAAATCAGCTGCCGCACTATTTTAGTAAATGATAATAGGGTGGGTGGCCTGGCTAGGCCTACTTGTTGAAAATTCATACTAGGGACTATCTGTGCGTTTCGTTCGGCTCTCCACAGACGACGTTCATGTGGAATTTGTGGGTGCTCTCTGCACTGAAGCTTAGGAGGCCGCTCGAGGCCGCTTCGTGTCGCGTCACTGTTTGCAGAGCTGATCCGGTCGGATTGCGGAACTAATCATAGGGGCACAGATAGGTGTTTGAAAGAGGTCGTCGGACTTCTGTCCAGTACAGGACTTGTTAAAGTGCTGCGATGCCCAGGAGGGGCATCCAGTGGAGGCTGACCCTCCGGCTTGCCACATTAGGGCTATTTTTTGAGGCGCTGGTTAGGGTTGCAAGATCTGATGGGATGCCTAAGGTGGCCTAGTTTGGTTGTAGATTCGGTCTTGCAACTTGCCTTCGCGACCTTGTCCCGCTGACCGGTTTGCTCGCGGACCTAAATCCTTATGTCCGGGACGGGGGTTTGTTCGCGCCAAACACTTTCAAGGATTGACGCGAGATGTCACTCGGCTCGGCGCGATACCGGTTTGACTTTCGGTCGTGCGAAAAACGCCCAAGGGCAGTCAGTCATCTGCCAGATGTGCTAATGTTTGCACGCTGTTAATTTTGTGCGGGAACCGCGGAATAGTTAGGGCGTCTAGTAAATATCCTGTCTAGGAATTATAACGCGCATTCCCTGTTTGGATAGCCTTTCCCGGGACTTATTGGGTCCGACTTAGAATCTGTATAAGTGCATTCGACAATATAAGCTAGTGCGGCCTCGGTATTTAGAACTGTTGCCACGCGAAACGGTAGTGACCTTTGACCTAGAAACTCCGGGCGTGTTTTGTGCGGTAACCTTATACCCCGCGATAGTTAGTGGCTTCTGTAAGCTAGTTAATCGTACGATAGAGTTAAGTGACTGGCATCGTGGTGAACCAAGAAAGTGACTGTGGATAACCTCGAAAGGCCCCCTCAAGTTGAAGCGGTGTCGACGCTCGGGCTGTTGCCGACGGCTAAGGTCTAGGTTCAATCACCATCAGTCACACCCAGATACACACCACATCACCATTCTTTCCCTTGCACTACACAACCACATGCGACCTGACCGACTCCGGAGGAACCAGTCGCCTTGGATAGAGGTAAGTGAACCCCGCCAAATTCCTTCCGGTCGACTGGCCGTAGTATAACGCTCCCCCATATATTTAGTGTAATTAGAGAACTTCCACGTGGCCTTAGGAGGCCCGACCTACGTTTGCTCGGGAAGTCTTCTGCTGATGGGCCCCGGGGGATTGGATCCTTTAAGGGAGCAACCGTAGGCCGTAACAGTTATGTCTATGGGTATTGAGTGAGTCATCATTTTTGTCTTGCTTATGTTAATTTCTAGACCTACTTCTTTACTTCTATCTACTAGGGCTTGTATCGTGGATTCCAGTGTAAGTGGATCCTCTTTCATTATAACCAGGTCGTCTGCAAACCTCAGATGACTCAATCGTGTTCCATTTATGTTTAGTCCCAGATGTGACCATTCCAATTTCCTAAACATTTGCTCAAGCACTGCTGTAAACAGCTTTGGTGAGAGTGGGTCACCTTGCCTGACGCCTCTATTGATTGAGAAGACATCTCCTGTAGATTCTAGCCTGATTCTGGCTTTACTTTCACTATAAATTTTTTTGATAATATTGATGTAGGCATTTTGGATCCCCTGCTCTTTTAGACTCTGCCATACCGATTCGTGTTTAAGGCTATCGAAAGCTTTGGCATAATCTATAAAGGCCAGGTAAATGGTTTTGTTGTATTCATTATATTTCTGTATTAGCTGTTTGACTGTATGTATATGATCAATTGTAAAGTAAAGTCTTTCCTGAACCCCGCCTGTTCCACACGTTGATTTTCATCAAGTGTGAGTGATATTCTGTCTAGAATCACCTTAGTGAAGACTTTATATACATTTGATATGAGAGAAATGGGCCTATAATTTCCTATATCATCTTTTGGATCCTTTTTGTGTAGGAGTATTATATGTGATTCTGCCCATTGGTTCGGAATGCTGCCGGTATTTAGAGTCTCATTGAAGACCTTTGTTAGTATTGGGCTTAGTTATTTAATTGTCCCTCTCATAAGTTCGTTTGTGATTCTGTCTGGACCAGGGGCTTTATCCATCTTTTGACTTTTTATAGATTTTTCTACTTCCCCTACTAATATTTTCGGTATGACTTCTGCATCATTGAACCTATGGTTTTTTATATCTTTATTACCTTTATGTGGAAATTGTATTTTTGGCTGATTTGAACTGTGTTCTTTGTATAGTAAGCGATAATAGTTTGTTGCTATATTTTGAATTTTGCTGCGAGAGGTAGTTGGCAGTGTTTTGTTTCTTAACTTTGGTATCCATTCTTTTCCCTGTTCTCGAAGTTCCTTGACCCCTTTTTCGTGCCTCCCGTTTTGCTAATGTGATTTTCCAGGGTTTTAATTCTTCTATTTTCCCTGTCAATCCTTATATTTTCACAAATCTGTTTGCTAAGGTTGGAAATTTCTTTTCGTATTTTCTTATCTCTTTTCTTCATTAAATTTCTTCTGTCTTCAATTAGTTTTAATGTTTTTTCACTTAGGTAGGATTTTTGACTCTTGTTTATTTGTATTTTTGCCTGTTCTTTTAGTTTTCTTTCTATTTTTTTTATATTTTTCATTAAGGTCTATATCTGAGGCAACTACTTCCATTAGGTCTTCTGTGATCTCGTTTGTTCTTCTTTCTACTAATTGTTCGTAAGTAGTTCATATGAGTTACTATTGGTCTAGGTTTTTTGTACCACTTTCATTGAGATAGCTGCGTACCATACGGTGGTTAGTATTGAAGTTAAGATTTTGTATTTCTCCCGTATCACTAAATGACCGAACGAAATCGACTACATAATAACCAACAAAGTAAGTTGGTTATTATGTAGTCGATTTCGTTTCTAGTCTTTCCATCTGGAGACATCCAATTCCATTTGTTTTTGGGTTTTTTGCGGAACATGGAGTTTAAAAGAGTTAGGTTTTTTCAAGCAGGAATTCTACCAATTTTTCTCCGTTTTGCTTCTTTTGCCACTTCCGTATTTCCCTATTATGTGTTCTTCGCCATCTAATCGGGCGCCGACTTGAAAATTGAAGTCACCCATGAGTACTATATTGTTTTCCGAATATTTTTCAGTAATTTCACCAAGCTTGTCGTAAAAATTATCTGTGTCTGTTTTTATTGCTTGTTCTGTCGGCGAGTATACTTGGATGATTGTCCATTTTTTCGGGTATTTTGGTAAGTTTATATGAATTGCCGCTATTCTATCTGATACCTCTTCGAAACCAATGATCTGGCTTTTAAGGTTTAGCTTTACCAAAAATCCTACTCCTCTTTGTCCAGCAACTTCGCCTTTGTGGTACATAATAAATTGGTTTCTCTCTTCTATTTCTTCCCCTAATCTTCGCATCTCGCTTATGCCCAAAATGTCCCACTTGAAGTTTTAAATAGCTAACTCTAGCTCTTGCAAACTTTCCGGTGTTCTTAAGGTTCGTGTGTTTAGTGTACATATGTGTAGACTACTTCGTTTTTGTTTAACTTTTTTAGTATTGGATTTAGTTAGCAGATTTATTGGAGGGTGATGGTCGGCTTCCCGGTTACCGGACACGGTGACCGGCCGGCTTGGGGGGTAATATGATATAGTTTTTCTTGCGGTTATATTTTTTGTTTTGTCGGTATGTTGGTTCCGGTTGGAAAAGGCCCTTACTTGTTTTTTGGCAGCTCTGACATTGAGGCAGATCTTTCGCGTGCTACATATGAAAGGATGCATGGTTTAATTACTTCCTTTGTTGAACTTAAACATGTCTTTACTTTCTCGGTATTTATCTTGTTTAACTATTTCTGGGATGGAGTGGTTGGCGATCCTGAAATCTCTCTCTTCCTTTTTTCGCAGTTGGTGGTCCCTGGTTTTTTTACAATTAGCTTGTCGTATTTTATAAATGCTATGTTTCTCTTTCTGCATCCACTTTTGGTTGTAACTGTTTGCGTATTTCAAGGACATACTTGGGGAAGTCTTCTTTGACATATACATTTGTGGGAAGGTTACGCTTGTTTCTCAAAATAAGATGTTTCTTCCAAGTTGTTGTTAGAGATATTATCACCGGACGATTTTTATCAGATTGTGCTCCAACTCTTCTGATATCACTTATTTCTTGGCTATCTAAGTGTGATCCTGATTCTGCTATAATATCCTTTACATAATCGACTAACTCCAATTCTGTTTTTCCCTTTTCTTCAATGCCGAAAAATACCAAATATTTCCTGCGTTTTTCCTTTTCTAAAAATGTTAGTTTTTGTTCCAAATTTGTGACTTTAGTTTTAAGGTTATTATTTTCTTCTCTCAGTATTTTCATTTTTTCGTCGAAGGCTTCCAAAACATTTTTCGTTATTTCTGTTGTTAATGTTACTGTTTGTTCATTAAACTTTTCATTTATTTTACAGAGAAAGATTTCCATTTGTTTATCCATTTTGATGTAAAGTAATTTAATGTTATATAGTCGTAACACTTTAGTATAATGGTAAGATGATTCTTTTTTGTGGCCACAGTATCGACAGTTGTCTATGTCTATCAATGTCAAATGTCACTGTCAGTTTGATTTGTTTGGTTGGTATCACTTAAAAGTCTTGGTGTGTATTCAATTTTAAGGTTATACTAATCGCTTGGGGAAAATTACATTTTAATATAGTTGTTCCACTTTAAATTCTTGCTTGGGCACCACTTACGTTCAATTTCCGGAAAACCCGAATGTATTTTATGTTCACTTTGCCACTTTTTGCACTTGTAATTTGAAAATATATGCAGAGCTCACTCTTGTACGTGTTTACACTTTCGTCGCCGGAACCGGAACCGGAAAGATACATTTAAAATATATAATGAACGATAAATTGTGTATTTGTTTATTATGGTAGAAATGATTTTTATGATTATTTTACATTATATTAAATAGATAACATAAAACTTTCATCAAAAAGTGCAATTATTACAATTAACAAAATAATCTTTAACACAAAAAAATAATAATTGCGTTATAGATTCTTTTTTTTATAGTATAGGGTGACAATCGTGCACAGAGTCCACCTAATGGTAAGTGGTTGCTGTGGCCCATAGACATCTACATTTATCCTCGTTTACGAATCAAAATGCAGATGCGTAGCCACCCGTAAGTATTAAGATGGAATGCCTCGTTTCCAGTAAAAAGGGTCTCCGGTTGTCTAAACTCACCATACGAAACATAGCGGTGTTAAGCTGCTATTTGACGCTGGTATTCTGTGAGAGCGTGGTCCTTCCCCGGCCGACCCGACCCATTCGTGCTACAACTATACTACTAATATAGCTGCGGCATGGCTCGACCAAGTTAAAAATTTTGAAGCCAGTGCTAAGACAAAGTACGAAGAATTAAAGCCCCGACTTCAGAAAATATTATGTGGAAATTGGAAAGTTATTATTATTATTTTTAGTTTTGAAGTGGGTCGATACTTTATTTTAAAAGTTCTTTTTAAAGGATAGGGTGAGAAACGAGCGCACAGTCCGCCTGATGGTAAGTGGTTGCTGTGACCCAAAGACATCTACATCTATCCTCAATAAAGAATCAAAATGATGCGTTGTCAACCGTGAGGAATGGTTCTTTTCCGGTAAAAAGGGTCTCCGGTCCTCTACACTCACCATACGAAACAGCAATGTTAAGGTACTTTACTCTGGTATTCTGTTAGAGCGAGTGAGCCTGATGTAGTCCCGCCTATTGTGCAGAAGACGTGTGCTCCGGAGTTGGCACCGGTTTTAACGCGTCTTTTTCGGTACTCCTACTCCCTATGCGTAGTCCCGAACTCATGGAAGACAGCTTTGATGCACCCGATCCCTAAAAAAGGCGACCGCTCAGATCCGTCCAACTACAGGCCTATTGCAATCACCTCCTTGTTCTCCAAAGTAATGGAAACTAATATTAACAGCCAGCTCATGCGGTACCTTGAGGATCACCAGCTGATTAGTGACCGATTAGTGGTCGAGGTCGCTCAGCTGGTGATCTTCTGGTCTACCTGACTCATAGATGGGCGGAGGCAGTGGAGTCCAAGGGGGAGGCGTTGGCCGTTAGTTTGGACATAGCGAAGGCTTTCGATCGGGTTTGGCACAAAGCGCTTCTTTCGAAGCTGCCTTCCTATGGGCTTCCCGAGAAATTATGCAATTGGATCACCAGTTTTCTTGCAGATCGGAGCATCAAGGTTGTAGTAGACGGTGCATGTTCCGATTACAAGCCTATTAACGCTGGTGTTCCACAAGTATGCGTGCTATCACCAAAGCTGTTTCTTCCGCATATTAATGATATGTTGCAAACCAGTAACATTCATTGCTATGCAGACGATAGCACTGGTGATGCTTTATACACCGGCCGTCCCAATATTTCTCGGTAAAACGTCTTCGAGTACCGGAACAAACTTGTGTCTGAAGTCGAGACTTTGTTGAACAAAGTTTCAGACTGGGGGCGACTAAATCTAGTCCAGTTCAATCCCCAGAAGACACAAGTTTGCGCGTTTACCGCTAAAAAGAATCCCTTTGTCGTATCTCCTCAGTTTCAAGGCACTCTCCTTGTTGCCTCAGCCAGTATCGTTATCCTCGGTGTCGACATATCGAGTGACGTACAGTTTCGTGGACAGTTGGAAGAGAAGGCCAAATTGCCCTCTAAAAAGCTTGGCGTGTTCAGCAGAGCGGGACAGTATTTCATGCGGGCACACCGCTTGCAACTTTACAAGGCGCAGGTTCAGCCTCACATGAAATACTGTTCCTATCTCTGGGCAGCGGATCCCCAGTACCAGCTCCTTCCACTTGACCGCATCCAACGCAGAGCGGTTCGAATCGTCGACGGCCGAGTTCTTTCCGATCGGCTTGACTCACTGTCACTGCGTAGAGATGTTACATCTCTTTGCGTATTTTATCGCATCTACCACTGAGGATCTGAGGAATTGTTCGGACTAATTTCAGCCGCTCAATTTCACCATCGCACATCGCGACAAAACTCGCGATACCATCCATATCAACTGGATGATTGGCGGTCCACCACTGTGCGATTCAGAAGAAGTTTTCTCCCTTGCACAACTTCCTTGTGGTATCGATTACCACCAGCGATTTTTCCGGACCGATACGACTTAGGGACCTTCAAGAAAAGAGCCTACACCTTTTTAAAAGGCCGGCAACGCATCTGCGATTCCCCTGGTGTTGCAGTTGTTCATGGGTGACGGTAGTCACTTACCATCAGGTGAGCCTCATGCTCGTTTGCCCCCTCTCCTGTAAAAAAAAACATGCATTTTGCAAATAACACAATATTTAAATTTAATTAAATTTCTTTATGGTCGAGTTTTCTGAAAAGTATTTATAAACGTTTGAGTACTAATTCTTATAATGCACTTAACGGAAACTACAGGATTTTTGTAACATGTTGTATATGTCCTACTACTGGAAAAAACTTTCCGAATGTAATTTATTTCCTGATCTCCTGAGTATCTTCCGCTATTGATACAATTATCAAACCAATCATGTAAAATGGGCAGATAAGTTTTTTCAACCGTAAGAGTTGGAAATGTGGCGTGAGGCAAGGTGGAATTATTTCACCTTAACTTTTTAACTTGTATATAAATGAGCTTCACGAGAGACTCAATTACTCGAACGCTGCTCAGTGTGTGTTGACGGATTTCACGTTTATTGCAAATATTTTATTCCTCATATATGCTGGTTCGCTCACGATGCTTTTCTTCACCGCTGAGCACGTGCTAAATCAGCACTTAAAATTGATATTAATAATTTCAATAGTGCCGGTGAGGAATAAACCTGGGTTTCTAGCGCACTGTGAAATTTATAGCAAGCGCTTAACTCCTGCACCATCACGGCATTATCGCTGGTATCAATGTACTCAATAAACAAAACACTTGTACATTTTAAGCTGTTGTTTTCTGAACTTAACTACCTACCTAAGATACTTAAATTATGTCTATAGTTAGGGTATAAAATATGATGTGATAGGATATAAAATATACGACCATACTAGTTGGAGATATTTGGAAAATCCAAAAGTGCACGCCTTATGAGCGTTTCATTTAGTTTTGAGGGAAAAAATAAATTACCAAAATAAGTCGATTACACAAAGTATAAAATCGATATAGACTGTATGGTACATTTATTCTGTGTATATCAAATGCTAAAAAATGTGAAAGAACCTTTAAATTTTTAATAGCAATAAAACTTATAAAAGTCGAAATTAATTTTATTTACAAACTACGCGTACAAGGCTATTGATATGAAATAGGGAACCAGTTGATGTAATTCTAAAGCTAATAAAAATAGCCAGTCTTTATAAGTCAATTTATTCCAGAGTTATCGTGACCACATCAGCGTAAAGATATCCAGACGTCCACGTAAAGTTT